AGTTTTGTAGACAAATTGTGCGACAATTGTCTTGATTATAAAGGCATAACCAAATTTTAGCCTTTTTGCGTATGTCAACCATTTATGCGTATGTTGAAAATTCTTTGTCCGCGGAAGCTTCTTTTTTCACATTTTTAGGTAAAATATTGTCTGTTAAAAGCCTGGTTGTTTGCACTAAAAGATTGATCAGCTAAAAAACTCATTTTTCAAATTCTATCCTAAAATATTGGTGTTGTTAAAATTCTTTTGTTCTGTTCTTATGCCACAACATTGTACTGCTAAAAGACTCATTCTTAGTTTTTCACGAAAAAAAATAGTCCGCCTAAAAATTTGGTCTGATCTGATATACTCAGTTTTCAGTTTTTATAATGAAAAATATGTCTGCTAAAAGACATATTTTCAATTTTATGCTGAAAAACTGGTCTATTAAAAGATTCGTTTTTGAATTTTTTTGCCAACATTATGGTCTGCAAAATTTTCAATTTTTAGGTTAAAATAATATTTTTGAAAAGATTAATTCCCATTTTTTAACCTACAAGATTAGTCAACTAATATCCTCTAACTTCGTTTTTTCGTGCTAAAAGCATAGCCTGCTAAAAGAATTGTTTTTCCTTTTATATCGTAAAAAATTGATGTGCTAACAAACTAAGTTTTAAATTTTTCGTTAAAAAGCTGATCTTTTGAAAGTCTTATTTTCCAGTTTTTAAGCAAAAAAATTGTCTGATAAAAACTCTTTTCTTTTTTTTCTATAAATCTTTGGTCTTCAAAAATTTAGAATTTTGAGTTGTATACCAAATGCTGAAAGATTTGTCTGTTAAAACTCATGTTTTACGCTAAAATTAGGTCTGCTCAAAGAATCATTTTGAGTTTTTTTAGTAACTGATTGGTCTGCGGAAAAAAATTTATTCCTCAACGTTTATGCTGAGAGAAAGGCCTGTTGAAGGTCTCAGTTTTCAGTTTTCAGATTCAAAAAGTTTGATCTGCTAAAGTTTTCGTTTTTCAGTTTTAAGTGAAAAAACTGGTCTGCTAACAGACTCATTTTAAGTGTTCGTGTTGAAAAATTGGTATGTTAAAACTCACTTAACATGCTAAAATTAGGTCTGCTGAAATAATTATTTTTCAATTGTTTTAGTAACAGATCAGTCTGCTGAAAAAACTACTTCTTCAAGGTTTATGCTAAAAATTTGGTCTGTTGAAGGACTCATTTTTCAGTTTTAGTTTGAAATTTTTGCAAGGTTAAGTCCTCATTTCGCAATTTTTAAGCCAAAATTTTAGTCTGCTAAAAACGTTTCCAAGAATTGATGATAGATGATTGGTCCACTAAAATGAGTTAGTTTCAAATGTTTATACAAATAAGTCTCTCTTCCAATATGCTCAATTATTATTTTCCATGCTTAAAAATTGGTCATCTATAAGACCAGTTTCTATGCTAAAAGATTGGAAGACTGGAAGACTCAATTTTCTATTGTTAATCTGAAAACTTAGTCTGATAAAAGACTTATTCTGAAATTTTTTGCTCTAGGTTGGTCTGCTGACAGACTGGTTTTTAAATGTTTTTGCTAGAAGCTTGATCTGCTAAGAAACTCATCTCTCAGTTTTTATGCTAAAAATTGTTCTGCTAAAAATTGGTCTCTCATAAAATCTTTTTCAAAGTTAATATAATAAAATAGGCAAAAGGACTGTTTTTTACATTTTAAATTAAATTATCGGCCTATTTGAAGATTGTTGCCACATGAGAACGCATTCCTTCTGATTGTTTTTTTTCTATCATCTCAAACTACTTCTGTGCGTCAAATTTCGACGCTTGTTTTTGTTTTACGTGCACAACGAGTGTCTCAAAATTTGGAGCCAGTTATGCGACCTATAATTAGTCCATGAAAATCACAAAGACAATTATTTATACTTAAATTTATTGAAATCAGTTATTAAGACAGGTGCTTAAAAAACTTTCTCGGATCTATCTTAAAATATTACCTCACATCGATTTAGCGGTGATAAAATTTGATTTTTGAGAAAATATTTTCAAAATTTAGCCTGAATTGGCGGTATTATATTTTTTTATATATTTTTTGAAAAATCAGACGAATCCTACAAACTACAAATCAGACTAATTTTCACAAAAAAACTGATTTGGGGGATCGCTCTTTAGATCTTTGTGCTCACAGGAGTAGCGCGTACAGTTCTTTTACTAGTCTGGTTTGAAATATTTCGCAAGAACGCGCATAAGTAATCTACTTCTTTAATACTTTGATGTTGAAATTGTACTAACTTCTCAAAAATTTCCATTAAAACTGACTGTAACCGATTATAAGGGTTATATTAGCATAAAAATATAAGAAATATAATCCATTTTTAGTGGATTGTAATCGATTTTAATGGATTGTATTGATATAAGAAATACTAGAATTATAATCCATTTTTGATGGATTATAATCAATTATTTTTGCGATATTTTAGATACTGACTATATAATGACAATATAATCAATTGTTATCCATGGAACTCCAGTGCGGGAAGAGCCATATTTGCATCCTATATAAACCAATTTTTGAGCCGAAAACGGACAATTATTCAATTATCTAATATTAGCTCATTGAATATATGATAAGAATTATTTTGTTGATATGATAAGAATTATAAGAATTAATATGATAAGAATTCATTAAGTTTTTTCTGGTGCTTCTTTACTTTCTACATTTTCATTTTTTTCTTGCTCTTTGAATCTGATTCTTGCTTCTGGGAAAATATCTCGCAATGGCGCGTTGGCTTCGTCTCTGCTCAATGTTTTGTCCACTAGTACGTGGATATGGCATAAAACTCGAGTTCGTGCTATTGCATTGTACAAAAACTGAAGCGACGCTCGATAGTCTGTGGGATCGAATGGAAGTAAAATGTGGCATTGGTTGAATTCTGAAGAACTGATGAGTTCTTTGCGACTTTCAGTCTCGGCCGTAAAATGGCCATGTTACCACTTCCTTGTATATTCCTCCCTTATACCTCTGCGATGAAAAAAGCGTGGAAAGAAAAAAGAACAGTCGATTTCTTCGTCTTCTATCTTCAAACTGAATTTTGCTTCGATTGTGTCCCAATGAAAAGTTGTGATCGAGTCTTGGCGGTAAACTTGAACGAGTAATTGGGGTCCATGAATGAAATGCCCGTAAATAGGGATGTGTGACAATTTTTCAGTTTCTCTAGTTTGGCTGTCTAATTTTTTGGTTTCAATTTCTTTTTGTTTGGCCTCATGTTGTAGTTTGTCGTTTCCATCTTCTCTTTTTTATCAGCTAGTTTTTCTTGATCTTCCTCTTGGTTTTCTTTTTCATCTAAAAGATTTTTTTAATCTTCGGGTAGCTTATTTCTCTGTTCAGGCAGATTCTTTTTTTGTTCAGTCGAATTCTCTTTTTCTTTAGTTTGATTTCCTATTTGCGATGTTTGTTTTTCTTGCTCTTTGGTTTGATTTGCTATTTCGGATTGATTTTCTGTTTTTTGAGCGTGGTTATGAATGTGCTCGCTCAATGTGATAAGTTGAGATACAATATTACGGGTACTTCGATAGCTGGCACTTAATTTAATTACGTCGAAAAATCATGTTTGTGTGAGGTGGGGGAAAGGAGAAAGAGCCTCAAATTTCTATTTACAATTATACAAACACTTTTTTGTTTCACAGGAGCAACACGTCTCCGATAATTAGCCAGATGTACACCGTAGAAACAAATCCTTGTTTATCACAAAGATAGTTAGTATCAACTTGAAACTTTTGAAAACCTTATTTGGAAACGTTATAGACATTTTGTGATTTTTTTACCGATTTGACAAAACTAAGAGTGCGATCGGTTATAATAAATTTTCAAACAGATTTTCGCCTAACATAAAAATGATTTGATATAACCCAATTAGAGACAAAAATAGATAATGTAGAGATTTTATACAAATCAAAGAATAGATTCAGTTGTTGTAAAAAATCTAATGTTTCAGAAAAAGTCAAGTGGCTCAAATAATTGTACTAAAAAGCCACAAAAATCACAAAATTCTACCAAAAAGGTTGTACCCAAGAGAAATCTCCCTGAGTGTTTTTGTGAGCTAAAGTTACTTGGGCGGCTAACTATAAGTTTCATGAGATCATCCATAGCTTTTGCTATAAAAAGGCAATAAAAGCTCCCACGGTAAAAAATGTGCATTTAATTGAAAAATCTTTAAAAACAATTCTAAGATCCACCGTTTAGCGCTAACTTTAAGAAAAATTTGACAAAACGATCCAAAGACAAATTTGAAAAAATTTATTTTTAGCTGCAGCATAATATTCGAACAATACCGTTTTTGAGAACAAAATCAGTTTTAAAATTAACGGAAAAGCATGTATTATAGGTATATTTCTAATTCACTCATATAAGTTGATTGTCTTGGAAGATGTGAAATTTAGAGAATAAACTATATTTAAAAAATGTTAAATCTGTACGAAATCTGAATATATTCTGTACATAACATGTACGTAAGCTGTATTTACTCGGTTTATAATCTAAGTTGAATATCAAAGGAATCTGAATATAATATCTGTACAATTGATATATAGCATGTATAGAATTTGTATATCCGTAGACAACCTGTTAAAAATTGTAAACTTAATAAACTAAAATATACACCAACAATTGAGTTTTGATAGCTATCGAATCGCTGAAATCAAGTATAATATGCAATCTATGACAGTCGATTTGATAATTAATGAAATCTTGTTTTGCTCTTTGAAAAGGCTATCTATTTCAACACTATATATTTTAGTAGCGATAATTGTTTGCAAATAAATTAAGCATTGCCAAATTTAATTTTAATGAAGTTCTATTAGGAAGTGTTATTATTGTTTTTGCTCTTCGTAATTGTGATTTTGGTGATTCATTTCTTTCGTCTTTCAATTCTCTGCCTTCTTTTATTCGTATACGGTTAGTTCAGGAGCAGTCTTAAAAAAGCCAAAAGGAACGTAGCCAACGGAGAAATGAGTAGAATACGCTCTATGGTTCTGGTTCTTCATATTTGATTCTTGCTTCTGGGAAAATAACTCGCAACTTGCCGTCAACTTCGTCTCTGCTTTTATTCATCAGCACGTGCACATGGCATAAAACCCGAGCTCGTGAAATAGCATTGTACAAAAACTGAAGTGCCTCTGCATAGTCGGTGGTGGGATCAAATGGAAGTAAAATGTGACATTGCGTGAACTCCGATGAACTGATGAATTCCTTACGTTTTTCAGTTCCAGCTGTGAAGAGGTCATCAGAATTATCTCTAATCCACTCCTCCCTTTTACCTCTGCGATGAAAAAAGCGTGGAAAGAAAAAAAACGCACATTCGATTTCGCGATCTTTTATTTCCAAATTGAATATTTTTTCAATTGTATCCCAATGGAAATATTCGATCGCGTCTTGGCGGTAAACTTGAACGAGTATTTGGGGTCCATGAATGAAGTGTCCGTAAAGGGGGATGTGTGACAATTTTTCAGTTTCTCTAGTTTGGCTGTCTAATTTTTTGGTTTCAATTTCTTTTTGTTTGGCCTCATGTTGTAGTTTGTCGTTTCCATCTTCTTTTTTATCAGCTAGTTTTTCTTGATCTTCCTCTTGGTTTTCTTTTTCATCTAAAAGATTTTTTTTATCTTCGGGTAGCTTATTGCTCTGTTCAGGCAGATTCTTTTTTTGTTCAGTCGAATTCTCTTTTTCTTTAGTTTGATTTCCTATTTGCGATGTTTGATTTTCTTGCTCTTTGGTTTGATTTGCTATTTCGGATTGATTTTCTGTTTTTTGAGCGTGGTTATGAATGTGCTCGCTCAATGTGATAAGTTGAGATACAATATTACGGGTACTTCGATAACAGGCACTTAACTGATCTGGTTTAGCTGAATCGAAAAGGCCGTAGTTTTGAGAGATATCTTTTGGAGTTGCAGTTTTGGTACCCATGGGTTTTTGATTCAAATCTACTGTCAAAACGAATCCTTTTCTTTTGCCTGAAATTTCTTGATCGGTGTTCTGGCAAAGGTTGATTTGGTAATCATCTATAAACTCAAAGTCAAAGTCATCGCTTAGATCAAAATTAGGTTGATGTATAATCAAAATTTGATTATTTTTAAGTTCTTCCCGATTAAAAGGATGATTCTCTTGTACTTCTGCTACTTTGATACGAGCCTTCTCGAAAAGAGATTTGTACTCGACTAAATCAACGTGATTTGCAACCCTGAACTTGATCTTCGAATCCGAATCAGTCAAAGCGAGATGGAAGATTTTCGCTAATAATATCAAGGTTTTCCCGGAACCAGTGGGACCAGTTATGATTTGATACCTACTTTGATTTTGGTAAGCTTTCCATTGTTCGTTTGTTACGTAGTTAAGACCCAAATAATCCTTGAAAAATTTTTTATCATTATCGGTAAGAGCTGTATCAGCTGGATTGCTGGTTTTTAGGAATGCTGGTAATTTATCAAGTTTTGTATCAGATGTATCGCTGATTTTCGATACATTTGGTTTAGAGGATCGGTTTTCTCTCTCAAAAGTAATACGTCCGTCTCTCAGTTTTCGGTCAATGTCGACTACGCAATCGGCAAGACTAATTTTGTTTTTCAGTTTTCGGATGGCAGGGCTAATTTCGATTTCTTCTATTTTGTTGTTTGTTCCAATGGCAAACATTTGGATGAGCACACTTTGAATTTTTCCAATGTCACCATCAATGGAAGTTTTTGACTTTTTTTGGCCTTCTATATTGTTTTTCCAGAAGGTTTTAAAATTTTGTAAGTCTGACTTATTAACCAAAACTAAATTAACCTCAGAATTGTCTGTTCCCTGAGATATTTCTGTTTGGTCGAGATTTGGAAAAGCTACCAGCTGAATTAATTCGATTTTTTGAAAACTTTGGCCAGAAGTTTTTTCTGCTATTCCGCATATAAGTTCCTCTGCTTTTTTAAGTTGAACTTTTGCATTGTTGATAGATGACCTGATTGGACTTTTTGGCATAATATTGCTGGCCGCTGACGGCTGAAATACTTTAGGGTTCTTTACTTCAATTTTAACTATGTAGTCAGGACCTATCACCACGAAATCGTGTTCACCTTCAGTTTTGTTTAATTCTTTGTTTTTGCAACTGGGGCTTTTGTTTGTTTCTTTGCTGCAGCTTTTCGCGTCATGGTTAGAATCCCACATTCGAAACTGCTTATGAGTGTATTTTAGCCCGTGTAAGACGATCATAGATGCGTCCAACTGTTCGAGTGCTCTATACATAACTACTTCGGCTTCATAGTCACTCTGTTTCTTCTGGTCAGTTTCAGCTTCTTTATCGGTTTGAATATGAAAATCTAAAAACAACATGTACTCAAAACCCATCATACAAAAACTTGATTTATACATCCACTTATGTGTAGGATTTTATTTATACGTCAAAGTTTTAGTTACCCACTTAAAACTGGTGCCAAAGGGATAAAAGATGTGCCAAAAAAGTTTTGATGCGGGAAAAAGTTTTCGACTCAGGAAATTTTCGGAGTCTATTAAAAAAAATGTCCCGGCGAATTTCATTTGTAGCATTTTCTTTAGTCGCAAATTAATGTAAAGAGTGTTATTTTCACGCAACCAGTCAAAAACGTAGAAAATTGATTCTTTTTGACACATAGAACATTCAAACCTCTTTTTTAAACTGAAAACATGATTCAGTGTTGGTCATTCTTCAGGGCAGACCAGTTTTCAATGTGAAACGAAACTGGTCTGCGCCATAGTTTTGCTCTGGTTACTTTTTTACATAGTCGAAACAATCAATATCACCTCGGAATCATTTTCGAGTTTTTGCGAATTATTTTATTTTATCTCCTAAGAAACAAGGAAAAGCTAGTTGTAAAGTAGAACCTTCGTAAATATCGATTCGATTTTGTGAAGGTGCTGGTGGAAACATGAAAGGTCGGCTCTTTCCTTCGCAGTATAATTTGAATAACTCCAGTCCGTCATCCAAAAATTTGTCAGTTGGTCTCTTTTTTTCTGTCGTCATGTCGATTGAATAAATTCTAATTTAAAATCAAATACAATCAGATTGCCTGGAAATTCATTATATCAAAACAGTTTTTACTTAAAAAGGAATTGTATTTTTCTACTGAAAACAATCTTTTGAAAAACTTGGTTGCGAATAAGTAAAGCTGAAACATTGATTTTGATTGCAATTGGTCCTTCGTAAAAACTAAACATTCACAAAGATAGCCGGTTACTGTGCAAAGAGCACAGAATTTTCCGATCACAGTCTTAAAAACACAGAAAAAACTTTTTTCAAATTAAAGAAGTATTTTCCTGCGTGGTGCGAAAAAGGATATGAACAAAAAAAATTTAGGCATATTTGACGGTCGTATCACCTAGTCATATTTGACAGTCATAGCAAATGGGAAAAAAAAATCTCTGGAAAAGAGACTAGAAAAACAAAAACGAAACGTTTTTTTGAATTTTTTCGCTGTTCTTTGAGTTTTTGAAATGTTTGATCCAAAAAAGGCGCAAATTCCATGGCCTAAATTAAGTTTTTTTTCCCATCTCAAAGAAATCTAATATTTTAATTTTTTCATAATTTTGTTAAACTTAAGTTAGTTAGTTTGTTCTCTCGCTTAATTTCATTTTTTCCTGTTTTCAATCGAGTTTATGAAAAAGTTGCCTATAGATCCCACACCAACCCCACTCCCCCACGCTTACCCGTACTACAATTTCCTGCCCCCGTGGGGGAGTACGTCGAGGGATAGGTAGGAGTGGGGGGGGGGGGGGTTACGTCAGCAACTGGTCAAAAATGCTGTTTTTGGGCACATTTTGGAAAATTACTATATATTGGATATTTCTAGATATTGGCTGCCCCTGTTTTAATGTGTTCGTTCGAGTTTTGCAAAAAAATGCAGAAAAAAGAGTCATTATTTACAAAATTTAATCATTTTTCATGGGTTTTATGTACAAAAAAAAATCCATTATATTGAAAAAAGTGAATTATAATCAAATATTATGGATAATAAGGGATTTAAAATTTTCAAAAACGATCGATTATAATGGATTAAGTATCAATTACGTGGTCAAAACATGCCATGATAATCGATTAAAGAGAACATTTTAGTAAATGAAATACCCATGATAATCGATTATTACCCATGAATATTCGGTGCGGGCTTTGCTGAGTTGTTTGGGCATTGATATGTTTTTCTTCGAAATTTATTTTTCAGGTATATCTAGGAAAATATATCAAAACATTTTTCTGTTATTTTGAACTGTAATTTTTGCTAAGAACCAAATAAAATCGTTGCTGGTAATAGCTGAAAGTGAATTTTTAGGCTCGAATACAATTGTTCATACGTAAAAGTTACGATTCTGTTATTAATATAAAAATTCTGAGTTTTTACTTAATCTAACCTGTCCAGATTAAGACTAGCTGCCAAAATTAGAAGTAATAAAACATATGTACTGTTCTCAAAACACACATGGCTGCGCGACGTTTGGTAAATGAAACTTAGAGATATGTGTGTGCATTTTCTAGTGACGGTTTAAACGTCATTTTTAAATATTACTTGATACGGGTTGAGTGTTGTGTCACAAAGAAAGTTTTCACAGTAAGACTGTTCTGATTTCAAATAGAAACAGAAACATGAATTATTTTATTGCGTTCACAAAATGTGACGCCGCCGCCACCACCAAAAGAAATATGTTTTTATTCCCTTGCAAAAGGAAGGGAAATGCTATTGGAATAATTCGTATAACGTTTTAAGCATTGAGAATTGAAACGACTATTCTCATTCAAAGCGAATATTAACGATTCCTCTCGTGAAATACGAGCATACGAAACCTTCTTCTCGTAAAGTACGAATGTACGAATAGAGAATACGAAGTTAAGAAGTAACTTCTCATTTGATACGAAAAATGGCGTGATTTCCCCATCTGAGTATAAATAGAAGC